TATTTACCAGAAGGCTACCAGATGCTGATAGCTGTGGTTGCAAAAAGGCATAAGGTCCTATAGAAGTCTATAGGAAAACTGCTTTCTGGGTTGACCTCTGTAAACACTTTCCTGCTGATTTTATGACTCAGTCACAGATTTTGAGTAATACTGAAGAAAAATCTTTCTGGTGATATGTCGGTCAGGCTCTAATCACTTTGATCACACACATTTCTTTCACATTAACACATCGTAGGTTAGCTGGCAATTTTTGCTTTGTTCATTCAGGTGTGCAAACTGCATATTCTGGATCAGTGAACATCCTCCTCACTAAAAAGGTGCCATTAGAATGCGGCTAACGACAGAGCACAGGCCAACTATCCAATATACATTTTAGGCACTAAAACAAAGACAAAGAGTCACTTGAATATCTCAGAGTTACAATACGTTTTTACAATATTCTTGTGGCTTCCATCACATTCACACTCATGATTTAAAACACTGCACTTTTTGTTTTTTTCTCTTCACACTGCAAGACGACTGAAGCAGGCACATGGATACTTTGCTCACAACAAATGGAGAAGCACACATAAGAGTTTCATTTCTGTACAAACTCCCTGTGCATAGATTCAGCACACACTCGCTCATAAATCACACGCACACTTATAGATACGTGCATCATAGGCATACGGACTTTAAAACGCACACAACGATGGCGACATTAAAAACACCACTCCTGTATTCGCGCACACTGACACAACGTCTGGACGATAGAAGCGGAACGTGCCGTGGGCATGCTGCAGTCAATGCTGTAAATGACACTGGTTAAACATTATTAATATGTAAATAGTGTGAGAGATACGGTGTGCTGACAGCAGCGGATAATAACTGGTCTAAAATGGGCTAATACAGTCTCGATGGGAATTTACAATATTTGGAAGTTGATTTAGTTCAATACATTAGTGAATATTAGTATATATAGTATGTGTGTGTATATTTATATAATTATATATATATATTTATATATTAGATTGAAGTTTGTAGAGAAATTTAAATGATTTTCTTTTTTAATATTAAGTATGACACATTAAAAACATTCAGCCTCATGGTGGGGAGGGGTTACACTTGCATACACATGCAGTATTTACAAGGCTGGAGTCCATGTTTGTGTTTTACATGTGTGTGTCTGTATCTGTGTGTATTTATATGAAGAGCTTTGTTAGTACTGCCAAATAGCGTTGTGGTTCCCACACAGATGCAGGCTGGAGAGCAGGCGTATACGTCTTTGTACACATATTACATTAAAAGACCTTTGTCCATGTGTAATACATCTGACTTATTGACGCTGTTAACCCATCTAATGCTGAGGCACCTTGAGTTTATTTTTGTATTTTTGTATTTTGTATTTTTTGTAATTTTAGTTTATTTATTCTGTTGCTCTTGGTATCAAATCTGACATCTAAATCGAGCTCATTTTATGGCTTTTTCAGATGCTGACAAAACACCTCTTATTCATTTACTCATAAGAAAACTCTTTTAGTAAGGAAAGCTATAAAGAAAGGCCAGCTGACTGTATACGGATCTACTTTTAGTTTCCCTACATTCCTCTGACCATTTGATCCAACATGCTTTTTTTGATGTACACACTGTCAGTGTGTGCATCAAACACTGACAGTCACTGGTTTGCCACTGGTCAGTTAAAACATGAAGTAGGGACGTGCACATTAAAACGAACCTGCACACCTCCTCTTTACCATAACTACCAAAAGAGTTTCAGCTGAAATTGCATTGACTGGACATCCTGAATAGCAGGTCAGCTCAACACAGACAGTGTCATGGATTTGGTGAAGGCTTCATACTGCTGGTTTTTGAAGCCAGTGAGGCATAAATATTTAGTTTCTGCCAAGTTTTACAGCATTTATGTAAGCGAGCAAAAATGAAAGCAAGCAAATGAAAGCAGAATGAGGGAGAAGAAGAAAGGGGCGTGAGGATAAAGAAAGGAAGGAGAAGTGAAAGACCTCCACTGAGGCTAAAATCCCCTCTACATAATGCATGATTATCTCCGAATTAGTCTCGCAGTTTTCATTTGTGACGATATGGGGTGAAATACGAAAAATGCTGAGGAATTTGTTTTTTCAAAAGTCCCTGGATCCAGATTTGGATGACATTCAATAACTGATCACTTCTAAGACGGACCAAGCCCAGCTCTTTTAAAACTGTCACATGAATCCACTAATACCTTTTGTAAATTAATCAATCAACCAAATCAGTCATATAGCCTCCTTGGTGGTCGTAGTAACAAAAAAAGAAGAATGAACAGGGGCAAAGAAAAAAAGAAGGTGGTGATAACGGCAGAAAAAGAGCAAAAGAATCATGCTCTAACTATGTGAACTTACCACACACTTTGATTTTATATTTCATACTGCAGGCAGGGAGGGGTCCCTTTAAGCTGCTGGAAGTTTTAGCTGTTGTGAGTTTCCCATTAAATTGTAAGAGTGCTGGGATTTTTATGGAGCTATGGGGAAATCCAGATCAAAGACAATAAAGTGGATGATCCGGACTTGGGGGATCAGCCCGCAAAACACAATTTAATCGTCTGAAATTTCCACTGGGAGTGTGAATCTCAATCTCAAAGACTAGAAATAATGTGGTTAGTATTTTTAGTATAAGTGTGTGTGGGTGTGTGGTTAATGTGATAATGCACTGCGGATGTTTCTAGAGGACTGGCTCAAGTGAATGAAATCCAAAATTGAGCTATGTATAAAACTTCACCAGCAGTGTGATCTGATGGGGTTTTTAGTTCATTTAGATGATATCGGTGCCATCACATATTTTAGGAGGCTTAAGATGACACCAGCTGAAAGATTTTATCGGCTTCATCCATGTGCTGTTCATGTGCTGCTAGAGGAACAAGCGTCGAAATGAGAAATGATGGTTAGTTAGGGTCAAATAAGCTGTTGTAGTGAGCTGTTTCAATGAAATGTCGTAAACCTTTCAGGATACTTTAGAAAAAGACCTCATGTGGAGTAAACATTTTAGTTGTAAACTCTGCAAAGGATTGAACTTGCAGTTTGGCAGTTTAACTTTAAAAATGAACAGAAAAACAAGGCTGCGAGGCGTGTACAACTAAAATGTTTAACAATCAAAAGCCATGTTATGTGAAGTGTTTCTGAGCCAGAAAGTCTCAAAGGTTTAAGTGTTAGTTACAGATAAGTGAGATTATCAAGGTAATACTGTGTTCAGGCATTAGACATGTTAAATCGAGGTCCTCGCCCCAGCTGCAGTGGTTTCCTCATCATTTGGTAAGGGGTGTTCGATTGTCTACAGTAGTGGTGAGCGGTGGACAAGATCTGTGGGGCTTCCTTTGTGTTTTTGCACTTCTCAGGTGGTAGTAGTTGAATCCTCAGCTACCGTGCCATCTTTACCCGCCTCCAATATGGCACCACTAGCTTTCAGCTCCACTTCAGGGGTTTTAGGAGCGACTGCTTTTGGAGCTGAGCCTTTGATAATATCGGCGTGATCCGGGCTCAGTTTGGAATCCGGTCCAGGTTCGGGCGTGCCATTGGTAATTGGTTCTGGTGTGGTTGGCTTGGGGTGCTCAGGGGTGGGTGTAAGGGCACTCTTACTATCAGGTGTTGGAGTGGTGGCTTTGGGAACAGCTGGTTTAGGCTCTGGGCTTGGGCTGGGCGCAGGTTTTTTATCGGCCTTGGGTTCTGGGCTAGGGGCTGGACTAGGTTTAACAGCTGCTCCTTTGGGCACATCCAACTTTTCCTCCACAGGTTTATCAGGAGTTTTCTTGGTCTCCGGGGCTGGGGTCACTTTAGTTTCAGGTACAGGACTGGGCTTAATTTCCACAGCTGGTGGAGCACTTGGCTTGGATTCGGCAGCAGGCGGAGGACTTGGTTTGGTTTCAGGAGCAATAGAAATGCTTACAGCCTCAGAGTCAGGGATTTGATCAGGGGCCTCAGTGTCAGTGTCCAGGGGGAGAGCAGTGTTAAAGCCAACGCCGGAGTCACTGGTCTCTAGATTACCAACTCCAACTTCTTTAGAGGAAACCTCGAGACCCTGAGGGTAGGAAGACAAGGTCAAGTAAGTTTGTTTGTGTCTATTAACAACAAATTGATTCAAAGTTGCATTCGATATAAAAAGGGGACATAAAAAGGCACATATACAAAAGATTTAAAACCACAAAGTAAACTGGAAGATAATAATAAGCTAAAATCGAATAAAATAGGAGAGTACATGTCACAGCGAAGCTACAGTGCAATGCGAGGTTTTAACAAATGTAACTTAAGGTAAGGTGTAAAATGCAGTGGCAAAGAAATGTTTTCAGCCTTGATTTAAAAGAACAGAGTTTGGGCAGACCTCAGGTTTTCTGGGAGATAGTTCGAGAGATGTGGCGCATAAAAACGGCAAAGCTCAAAGATGCTTTGACATGTTTGGCTGTTTGTTTGCTTGACCTATCCCAAAAGACCTGAGGAGTCAGAACGACTCATGACACAGCAGCACATCAGAAAAGTATTTTGGCCCTGAATCATTCAAGCCTTTGAAAATCATAGTGATAGAGTAAAATCCATTCTTCGTCAGATAGGAAGCCACTGCAAAAATCGGAGACCTGGACTGACGTGATCCGCTTTCTCGATCTTAGTGGGGACTCTAGCAGTAGCGTTCTGAATAAGCTGCGACTCTCTGTAAACGCTTAGAACAGCATAAGAGTTGAGACATCATTAGAAACCTCAGTGACTCAGTTTTAAGTGGGAAATAACACATTTCCTTACTTTAATATCCACCTCAGTGCTCTGTGACTTCTCCGTGTTGTCAGCCTGGGAATGCTTGGATTCCTCGCTCATTTTGGTGATGTTCTTGACCACCTTTGAAGACGTACACAGAGCAGAACTTGTCATTATATCCGAGCACACTCTATCCTTATGCTCTTCATCACATCGTCAGTAGTGTATTTTTTTCTCCAACCTGTCTGAAGGCCTCTCCTTCCTCCTCTTTTCCAGCGTTCTGGGCAATCTTCTCCAGGGCGGCAGCCCTCTTGGCCCTTTTCTTCACTTTGATCAGACAGGACAGCAGGCAGACCAGCAGAAGGAAAGCCAGCAGGCCCAGCAGGGCTATGATGGCCACATACAGTGTCTCCAGCTTATAGGCTACAAGGACACACGGCAGAAAAGAGATATTAATATTTCAACCGACTTCTCATTGATGTGTTGAAATTCTATTGCATACAGAAAACAAATTCCAGAAGTTTTCAGCCCTCATTACTTCACAGGTACAGGAGACGGCCACATGACATTTTAAGGGCTGAATTGCACATTTAATTTTAAAAAGCTTAAATTCACAATCTAAGCAAAAATGAGCAAAAATGTATTGCCTATGGTGTAGAGTAGACTTATTGTTCTCCGATAATTCACTGGAGAAAAGTTTTAAAAGATTATATTTTGGGTAAACTTTAAAGGGTCATATCATCACGTGGAAGAGGTGGCTGGTCAAAACAGGGTAAGGCATATGAAATGTCTAATTTCTACATATTTTTAAGCATTTTTACTTTTATTAAACACTTGCAAAATTAAGATCACATCCACGGCTAACCATTTATGCTCCCTTTCACACCTATGGTCGACCTAGAATTACTAACTAACATAACAGTCATCCAAAGACAGTCTTCACAGTCTTCTAATTTAAAGTCATGTTAGAAATGTTATCATTGAGGGCTTAAAAATTCAGGAAAATAAGGCGAATCAAAAAACACCAAATTTGAATTTACACATTTTGAAATTGAATTTCAAAGCTAACATTTTGCATGACTTTAAACAAATCAGCTCCCTTTGTAGGGTTCAGCTAGGGGGATTTTTCAGATCCAGTGCATTTTAGATGGAATGACTTTTTACCAGCATAAACAGCAATACAACCCAGTCTATTAGTGTTTTCCCCACTCCTTGCTTACGTTTCATTTCCAAGAAGACAGTAGACACAGTGAAATTCTGTAGGTCCTTAATCGTGAACAGGCCTTCATCTTTATCATTGACGTCATCCAGAATGACCAGTGAGCCCTCCAGAGACAGACGGTTCTCGAAACCCAGCTCTGTTTGGGCCTACCGTGAAAAAACAAACATTTTCACACTTGGCATCAAATACAGAAATCCTGATTAGAGCAATAAACATTAAACATGAATGACTGATGAGAAATGGAATACAAACCTATTCATACTGACTGATACAAGCATTTAGCTCTTAAGTAACATAAACAACACACACAGTCTGTTAGAAGCATTTATCAGCTATAAAACAGCCTGAACTTCAGCACAGGCACTTAGAAAAGCTGCAATTACTCAGCAGGTTACAAATAATGAGAAGAAGAATATGGGCAAATGTCATAAACAACAAGGCACACATAATTACAATAGCAGGTATAAAATTTGCTTTTACAATATGTTTGAAAAATGAATGCTTTTTTATGCTTTTGTGCAAAATAATATGTATATATTTTTATATTATACACCACAATATAGGGTATTTGTAAATGGCAGCTAGTGTGTAGATACAATACCTGTGGATAAAAAATAATCAGCTGCAGCTTTTAATCTTTGAATTCAGGTGTATAAAATCAAGGACCAACTCGCGCAGTCTGCCTTTACATATAGAGTGAATATAAATCCCATTAATCATGTTGTATTAATACCTATGTATTAGCTCAGTTTTAATTATTAAAGTTAAAGCCAACCTGTTAACATTATTAAATTAAAGTGGATGTTTATGCTCATTTCATGCTCTGCTCCATATTTTTTGGTATGAATCTTACTTCAAAATAATCCTTATTCATCTGATACTCAAAGGGCAGCCACTTAGACTTAGACACTTAAAATCAGCATCCACATTTGTAACAGTATATGGCAGAAAACAAGGAACAGAAATGACGTACAAAAATGAAAGAGTCATAGCTGGACTATAGTGGAGGAAAAAGGCTCTAATTACAGGTGTAAATTCTCCTTTGTCCAGCAGCAGGCGCAGTGTGGAGTCACTCTTGGGGCTGTAGTAGAGGTACACCAAGGAGCTGTTGAGTATCAGGTTGATCTTCAGTTTGTTACCGCGTTGCAGTTTCACAAACTCTTTGTGCTCTGAGACACAAAGAGGCAGAAAAGAAGGAGGGACATTTGATAAATAAATCACAAGTCTGTTTACAGCTCCATGGATCATCTGAAATGCATCAGCCCGCAGGAGCCCATTAATGTTTCCGTCTTTAAAAAGCCATTATGGCAGCAGGGCAAGGGGGGGGGTTAGAAGCTCATTTAAAGCAAGCCAAGTGTAGGAGAAGAACATAGGCATGAGGTGTCTTCATATGTGCTCTCACCTTTGACATTGAGACAGACTTTCCGTTCAATACCACCTTTGTTATCCCTGACAGTGTAGCTACCCTCATCTGCATCTGTAACACCGCTGAGGGTGACATAAGGACCGCCGGTGCTGATGCGACCCTGATAGCGCTCCGGTGATGTCCCTGCAGCAGTCAGCACCACCAAACCTGGTCTGCAGGACGGAAAGTCAAAGAGGAGGAGCTTTTTCTCAACCTTTCCTGTTACCTCTGTCTCACTGAATGTACATCAATGTTGCAAAATGTCATTACATATTCTCTTGGGTTAAAATATCACCTACCTAAATGTCTCCCTGGCCTCTGTAGCTCTGGGTCTGTATTCAAGGGTGATGGGAGGATTCACCCCCGACAAATGAATACTGAATTTGTCTCCATATTTGACCATCTGCTCAACGGTGCAATCTAGAAGATAAAAGCGGAGAAAAAAACACTTGATTAAGTGGACAGAAAACTGTCTGAAATTTTCACAGAGATGAGCAGAGACAGAGTGACAGTTTATTTGAGAAGGGAGTAAAAAAGAACAGGAAGGGTGATGTGACAGATGCTGCAAAAAGAGGACAAAGGATCCAAAAATATCAGAGTTACAGGAATGAAGGGGAAGTAATACAAACCAAATAAAGTGAAAGACAGTAAAGACGAGATAACGACAGGACACCAGCAGGCGGGGAAGGAGAGCGGAGCGGGTTGGTGGTAAAAGAGCTGCATAATTACTGCAGGGCAGCTTCACTCTCTACACACAAACACACACATACCTCTTCATCACTTGATTTCACATTTACTCTCAACATATGGTACACAGCGCTGCGCTACGGTCGCTTTTATCAATATTGGGTTTGAGCCCACCACTCCTGCTCCCAGCCCAAAATGCCTTCTTCACATTTGTGTGCAAGTCTAATCTCTACAGTCAACATTGCTGCAACTTGTAATTCTCACAGGACAAACAGGATGTGCTAACAGTAGGTTTATTAAGCTGCTGAAATTATTATTGAAAGCACAAGTAGTAGCAACAGCGAGATATACCTAGTATCAAAAATTTGTATTAAAGGTATTTAGTGGGGATAAGGAGGCGTGTCTGTCTGTGTTTTGGAAATATTAACAAATTGTATGTGACTAATCGTCTTTGACGATGTTCAGAAGCTGTTTTAGAGCACTAGTAAAAACATGCAGTAATTGTTTTCTGCGTGACTTTATCGGTCTCTCACATCATCGTGGAGGAATTTGGCCCACTATTCTTTATAGTGTTGCTTCAGAGCATTGAGGTTTGTTGGCATTCATTTATGCACCGCAGTACTTTAATAACATTGAGGTCAGGGCCATTGCAACAGCTTGATTCTTTTCTTTTTCAGCCATTCTGTTGTAGATTTGCAGCTGTGCTTGGGATCGTCGACCTGTTGCTTGACCCAAGCTTCACCTAAGCTTTAGCTATCAAACAGATTGACTTTAGGGAACTTTGGTATACAGAGGAGTTCATAGTCAGCTCAATGACTGCAAGGTGCCCAGGTCCTCTACCAGCAACATAAACCCATATCATCATCCCTCCACCACCGTGCTTGAAAGTTGGCACGAGGTGTGTTTTGATCAGATGCCACTGCAAACCAAAGCCATGCTGCCGTGTTCTTTGTAGAGATAAAAGGCTTTCCCCTGGCAACCCTTCCAAACAAGCCATAATTGTTCAGTCTTTTTTAATTGTACTTCATGAAGTTTAACATTTAACATGCTAACTAACCGAGGCCTGTACAATCTGAGATGTAGCTCTTGGGTTTTTTGGAGTGTCTCCGACCTCGGAGTGAACTTGTTGAAGCTTGCTCTCTTGAGAAAATTGGCAACTGTCTTGACTTTTTTCCACTTGTGAATAATCTTTCTCACTAACAAACCTCAGAATGCTTGTCTGATGTCGTTCCTCCATGGCAGTGTGTTAATCACCTGGATGCTGCAGACCTGCAAACTTCTGCCTTCGTAGAAGCGTTCACACTTACTGATGATCAGTTAATCAAGTGCATGTGATTAATAGCAGCTTGGTGTTAATTCCTAATCAAGTATCAATCATGTTACTATATCAATTATGACAATCAATTATGTGATTATTACTGTATTTGTAAAAATACAGTAAAAAACAGTATTTAATTTAGGTGTGATTTTGTGGGTTTTTAGGAATTCTGTCACCATGTTTAATGTGTGTCTTTTTATTCTGTACCTCGGACTGTAAGCGACATGCGTTTGACATCGTCTGGCTTCTCCAGATTCTTCACGGTGTACACGCCCTCATCTCCCTCACCCACAGCTTCTATAAGGAGATGGGTGTTGCTGCGGTCGAGTTTAGGCCGACTGTGGACCACTTTGCCTTCCCTCATCAGGTGCACATCCTTTGACCGAGGAGCAGACTTGTTATGAAACGTGACCTCCACATTTTGGGAGGGTAGTAGGATGTGGAAATCCTCTCCATGGAATAAGGTGTAAGATTCCTCATCAGCTGGTTTTTATGGTGGATAAAGCAAAGAAACAAACAAACATTAGAGTAAAAGCTCACAATATATATGAGACAAATCAAAAAGTATCTCTCAGACACACGTTTTACCTTTTAAGGGGGCAGAAAGAGCTGCAAACAAAGACAAAAGAGCATTAGAGTTAAACTGATATGAGTAATATTTTACAACCTTTTCATCAGTTAAACTTAAATAAAAATTTCTAATTCCTCTTATAGCATAAAATGTACTAATATAACATCTAATTGCATGTCTTGTCAAAAACAAACCATGCTGACAATGGCCTTACCCGTGGTGACCAGAAGGCTAAGCGCGATCACTCTGAATGTCCCCATGATAGTCGATTCTTTAGCGTCTGGAAAGAAAAGGGAAGATTAATTATCTTCAGATTAAATCACAATAAAAGCCAAAGGTACTTATTTTCCTTCATACTTGAACATAGTTTATATTCAAGTAGGAAAATTACTTGGATATCATGAAAACCCATTACGTTCGGTGCCTCAAACAGGAAACATCTAAAAACAGAAAATCAACAAGACAATGATGATTTTTACGAGACCCTGTGGAGGTTTACAGCACTGCTCAGTTGATATTGATGGTTTGAATGGCTGGCTTTCATGCCGACACATCAGAAGCAACGCAACAGGGGGCTGCAGCAAAAATAACCATCCTATGGTGTTTGAAAGCCCAGGAGGACCAGGAGGAAACACCTGCAGTGACCACAGCTTGACAGTGCAGCGTTTAGTAGCACACTAGCTATATACTTTAAAAAGATCATGATAAATTGAAATGTGTACATCTTTGACCTCATAATATATGTATGACCTTGTTTAATTATTTATGTAAAAGAACGTCTTTTGAACCTCTACGCAATACCTCTAAGGCTGAAAGTGTCTTTCCTCTCCTTTATCTTATTCTGTACAGGTAAAGACTTAAATTAGAAAAGATCTAACCGTCCAAAAAAACTGTCTGCGAAGAAGAGACTGTATGCAGGGGCTTTTGGAGTCCCTTCATTTTCTTGGTTCTAATTACAGGTTTTACACAAAATTGGTGCTTGAAATGCAACTTTTGTTGACAAAATAGGATATAATAGCACACAGTTCTGTATAAAAAAGTCTTGAGCCACCCTTTTTTTCAGATCTCAAGTTATTTCATTGGTTTTAGTTAGGCTACTTAACACGTATCCTATGACTCAACCCAAGGATAAAAAAAGGCCTAACTCAAGGGATTAGCCAGTGTTGTGTCTCAACATTACAATGTAATAAAGATAATAATAAATGATAGCTATAATAAATAATTTGTTCCCATTTCTTTAATTTTAATCCATAAAACATCTTATTGCAGCATGACAATGATCCCTAACTCACTGCCAATGCACTAAAAGTATACCTGGGTAGATATCAGTCATTGATTGGCCTCCCCAGAGCCTGGATCTCAATCTCACTGAAGCAATGTGAGGTCGCTGTGACAGAAAACAGCACAGAAGGCAGCCAACATCCAAAGAAAAGCTTTTAATGTCCTTCAATAATCTGGAGAACCCTTCCACAAGACTACTTAAAGAAATTATAAGAAAGCTTGTCTAAGAGAGTTCAGGCTGTATTATACACTGAATTTCACTTTCAAGCCTTTTACAGTTCTACTGAAGTAGTAAATTACAATTTATGTTTCAATAAATTATTGCCCTTTTTTGTATTTTTGAAGCAAACCATAGAGCACTGAGGGGTTGTTCGAGATTTCTGCTCAGTACTGTACATAAGCTTTAAGGTTTATGTTTTAAAGCTTTTCTTAAAGGTCTAACCTGAAGAGAGGCTCTTTCTTGTTAGGAATATGTAAATATTTATGAGGCCCAGATGTCTTTGGGTCAGTTTCAAGAGCTGCTCATTAATAGCATCCCCGAATGTCTGAATGTGACCACAGTATAAAGGTGATCTGGGTAACAGTTCGACTGGTTTTCCCATAGGAATTTTTTTTAAAAAAGGGTCTCTGTTGTGGAAGAATTCAGCTGAAACACTGAAGGGATTATTGTGATGTGAAGTGCCTTCTGCTACACAGAGGCAGCACATCAAGACAGTTTGTGCAAAAGAGATTTTTGCTGCAGTTTCATTTACAAAGCCCAGGAGGGGCCTGGGAGGGAACACCTGCAGTGCTCACAGTCACACTTAGCAGCAGATAATAAACATGCAGTAAGGATTAAAGTGTCGCTTTGTAACGCTGCAGACATCACAAGACATCCCGTTCCTGCTGGAAGTGATGAAGCACGCAGCCATCTTCACAGTCTATTAGGCTGATCGTGTATTTCCGGTATGCCGGCCATCTAACTGGCTTTGGAGAATATATTTCTTCAAAGCCAAATACTAAAAAGGCTCTCGTCGTTCCTTATTATTTAATTACAGTAATTAGCATTTCACAGTGTATTAATCTGACAACCAGAACTGCTGTTACCCAGAAGGCCTCATGCAACCCTCTGCAGTGTGTCTGCCACATTCTCACACAGCACTCTCGGCAGAAAGCCTAAAAGCCCACTGATTTTATTGTATCTGAAATAAAATATGGAACAGAGCTGCGTCACACAGAACACTGTCTCATGGCAAATGAATAAGTGGTGTCCATTCATCACTAAAACTCAAATTACACTGTAATTGTATAACAACAGTCCCCATCTTTGTTTTTCTTCTGCTTGAACCCTTTGTTTGAAGCTGCTGCATCATGCACTGACTGTGACATCTAACTAAAAGAAACCAGACTGACCCTTGAAGAAGTCAGTATTTAATTAATCCAGCAATCCGAGACGTAGGATTGGTTGGCTGTGAAGAGAACGAAAGGGGAACCGTTTGTCCATCTGTTTGCCTCAGCAGTTGGTCTCAGGGAGTCGCAACGGACAATCAGGATATGTGAACCAAAAAAATAAAAAATCTTGTTGTTTTTTTTTAGCGTTTGAAGCGAAACATGAGAAGACGAGGCCTGCTTCACTGAGCATGAACACGCATGCACATGACAACACGGGCATTAAGCTATAATATAATCTTATTTATACACTGCCCTGTGGGATGCCAACATAGGCACAGACTAGCATGCCATCTGCCACCCTTGCCTGACTTTCTCTCTCCTTTCCCCAAGCTTCATTCAGTCTTCGTTCCACCTCACTGGCCTCTCCGCTCGGGCCTCCTTCTGTTTTTTCTTCTGTTTTCTCACTTCTGTCACAATTTTCGCATCTACAGATATTACCTTCTACCACCGTGACCTTGTTCAACTCACCCTGTCCTCTTCAGCTGCCTTCTTTAACTTTCTGTGCTTCTGTTTGACAGCTTGGTGTCATTTCTCAGTGTCTCTCTGTTACATTTTGTGTTCTCACTATGACTTTTCTCAACCCGAATCCCATGCCTCCTGTCTCAGGGCAGCTGTTTCATTTGCCACTTTCTCTGAATTTTCTCTGGCTCTCTCTCACTCTCTCTCTTATCGTGTCTCTTTTATCCTCTCCTCCTCCTTATCTTATATAATCCAAGCCAATGCATCCCACTCTGAAATCAAAGCCCGTGCCTGTTCCTTCAAACGCCAAACTCCCCGCTTACGGAGACACAGTCAGATCTTTGTCCATGGCCTTTAAAGAGGCGGAAATGCCTTCAGTGACTGCAAATGTGGGGCAACTAAAGTAAACTCTGTCTTTAACCTCCATCATTTCTCCTTCATTTTCACTTAACTCGTTTTCGTTGCACGGGGAACACGGGGTCACGTCCCCCTCGTGCTGAGTAGGCAAGCTAGCTTAAGCTCAAGTGAGCTCAAGCAGGTTTACACAGAAGTACGTACTGCACCATGCCTTCACAGAGCTTGGCATTTATAAATCATGAGGCATCAAAGAAAGAAAGAAAGAAAGAAAGAAAGAAAGAAAGAAAGAAAGAAAGAAAGAAAGAAAGAAAGAAAGAAAGAAAGAAAAAAGTATTGTTGCATCAAGACACACGTGTGGGAGTGAATGAAAATGGTGCATTTGATTGCATCATACGTCAAAAACGAGCTTGGAGGTTTCCCCTTCACCAAAACAAAGAATGGTGAAACATCACTGCAGATCTCCTCTTGTTGAAAAAGAAAACAAAACAAATTCAAAGATCTCGTCCAAGTGAAATCAGAGAGTATCATTTTTGTACCATTTAGTAGAGGAAGCCTGTAGCAGCTGACAACCTATTTTCTTACAAAGCCCGCTGCAGTGAACTAAAGGATGAGACAGGTTTCCACCATATTGCTTGCACCTGTCAGATTCATTAAAATCAATGGACATGAGGGAGGAGCGGGGAGGTGGAGGAGGAGGAGGGAGCTGGTGGAGCTATGTGCAGCATTGACAAACATTGTAGGAGAGGTGATGAAAGAAAAGATGTGAGATATATTCATGCTTAAGATGAAATAATTGTGCAGTGATAGAAAAAAAAATGACTGGTTGGATTTGTTGGGTGTTGATGCTGTGCAGCAATGGCCACAGTTTATGAGCAGGACTGCAGGCAGAGCAAGGCAGAGACAGCCTGTAGGCCAAGGCTTCCTCTGAGAAATGAAGCTATAAACCAAGCTTTTAAGTCTTAACAGAGCATTTACCCAATAGACCACACAACAAGTACCATGAGACACTAAAATAAATATATCTATATAATTTCCATATAATGATTATATTGCCAGCAATAACGAAATCAATCAAGTATGTCTTTGTATTAAACCTGCTTAGATGAGCCTGCATGTTGTTAAAAATGAACATTTCCCCATCCACAATTTACATTTCTGAAATTTTTTTGAATTTTAATTTAAACAAGATGAGTAAAATATATATATATTGAAAACAATAAATATCCACAAAGCCCGAGCTCCACGCCGGGACCGTTTAACAGGTAACATATTTTCACACCTCTCCTCGTTCCCAGTAAAGCGTGCAGTTGGTGATAAAACCCCGCAGCTCGGAGTCTTATCAGCCACCTCAGAGCCGGGACAGCGCATCAGGCAAAAAACTGCAGAATTTAACCCGTCACGTACCGGCCACGTTTAAGGCACACATCCGTACATGTATGTGAAGAAAAACGGCGCTCTGCAGCGCACTTACCTTTGAGTGGCCGGCTGGAGCTGCGGTGCATTCACGGAGCAGACTGCCGGGATGCTTTCAGAGGTGAAAATCTGTGCGGACGTCGCCTGATTTCTCCCTCGTCGTCTCCCTCCCTTGCAACCTCGCCCCCCTCAAGAGCAGCACTTCACGACTCGGGCTCAACATTTGGAAGATGTTCAGAATATGTCGGGCTCTGCTCCCTCTCGGAGCCACTCGACTCGTGTCGGGAAATACCGGACACCCTTCATCCGCGAGATACCTATGGTCATCTGACAGCTAGGGGGGGGTATTTAACGAGGTACCAGCCAGGTGATACACGAGGATACCGGTAGAGCACAAAGCTGTTTATTGCACAGCATTGTCCACTACACATTCCTGTACATATACTGATCCACTTTAATGTCATTATTAATGTTTTTACTGCATTTAGTAAGCTTTTTTTAAAA